GCATAGGCCCTCCAAGTGCTTTAGTGCTATTGCACACAAAGCATCTGCGGATGCCGGCGCGCTGCTCCGCAGCAAGAAGCTCCGCTTCTTCATCTTCAGCATAGCTGAGGTTCATCGGCTCTGGACCGCTCGAAGAGCTTGCGCTACCAGCGCTCCAACCAGGTCGCGCCGACCTGAAGTTGTGTTCGGCATTCAATGCCACATCCACCGCCTCTTCAAAAGAGTTAAGGTGTACACGGAACACTTCCGTTCGAGCTGCGCTCACACGAAGTCCCTCCATAAACACGGTCACGCTGACCAGTTCCGGAAGAGGGTCCGCCGCCATTCCGGCGATAAGAGTTCTCAACTCTTGGACATAGTCCAATAAATCCTTCTTACCCTGGCGGGTAGCAAGGAACTTTGACCGGATACGGTACGCCTGATTAGACGGCGCGAACACGCGCGAAAGCTGTTGCTTCAGCTGATCCCAAGTGGGAAATGCAGCGTCAACAGACGTGCCGCACGTTAGTGCCCATTCGCGAGCGCGACCTCCAAGCCTGGAGATAGCCAGCGCCACGCGCTGATGCTCAGACTGGAGCAGGGCCGATCCATGGCCATCTCGACCTCACGGGTCCAGGGAAGGAGATTCTCTCCATCCTTCCCCTCGAAGGTTTTTACGCTCACCATGAGCGGTTTCAGTCTCATAGACTCTTCACGCGTCATCGACGCCGCCGCTGTTGCGGCGCTCATCTTCTCTTGGACATGCTCCAAGAGCGCGTTCTCGTAGCGGGAGAACGATTCCAGCCTGGCAGTGACCGCCTCTGGACCTTGCGATGCGAGATGAGCCACGCCCTCCGGGCCAAGCAAGGACATAAGCTTAGTAAGCGCGTCCTGCTGCGCCGGGGGCAAATTCGCGAACACGGAGTGTTCCATCCTCGCAGAGGATATAGTCAACTGACTCAGAAGCGGGATTGACTACGAGGGCTACCAAGTGCAGCGGGGCTGCCGTAGCTTTAGCATCAGAGGAAGACGTTCGACTCAAAAAGTCACTAATACTAAGTTCCTTATCCAAAGGACACTTACAGCCCAAGACCAGGGCTCAAAGTTAATACCTTAACTTTTATGCTTCAAAACCAGAAGTGTTTTATTTACTATTATTGCGGCCAAGCCGCCTAGGGGTAAACGTATCTATTTAACTATCTAGCATAGTTAAACCTAATCAAATGCATAACGTGTGGCTTTCAGCCAACGTACTGAGAGACCTTGTTAACTCTCCAACTTATGTACTGAGAGTTTGTTAACTCTCCGGACCCCTGTGTGTCACACCATGCAACCCCGTTACAGCAGAAGGGAAAGCTATACAATTAGTAAGTTAGATCTGGCGTTTTGAATGGGAAACCGAACGTTTTTTTACAAAATCACTGTTCTGACGTGGTTTTTCATGTTCCACACGTACTTCTTCGTGCTACACATTGCTCTACACTTTGGAAAACTTGTGCTGGGTATGGGGCTGTATGATGCAAAAATCATATTCGAGTTACCGCTAGTATACAAGTCGATACACTTAAAAAATTGAGAAACATTTATTAATCGAGTGAAATTGCGATTGTATAGATGTTTGTATAGGTTGTGCATATACGAAATGTAAATAAAAGTTTTGAATAAAGAGTTGGTGTAGGTGTTTGTTTTTGTGATTATGGAAATTATAGAAAAGTAAAAAAGATAAAATATTTAAAGAGAAAGGTAAGGATTGACGAGAAATTTGTAGATGTGTGGTAGTAATAGAAGCCTGTATGAAAAAGCGAGTTCAAATGAAAATAGATTTGGAGAATGAAAAAAAAAGTCAAATGTAAGTTTTTTTAGTAATTAAAAAAACCCCTAGGGTAAATCAGGGTAATATAGGGTAATGGAGGGTATTATAGGAGAGCTAGAAAAGCTACTGAGCGAGGCTTTAGG